ATAATCAAAATATATCTCATTATTCTATTGATTGGTTGAATCCATTACCAAATGAAGAGTTTTGTATTCATATCGGAGGAGATCAGCAATGGTTTAGTACTTATGAAGAAAATGAGCAAAGATGGCCTATTGATAAGAATAAGCACATGTCATCACCCGTCGCCTACTCAACAAATGACCATTTTCATAATCCGATCGGAGGTATTATTGAGTACTTATTTCTTGGTTCCCATGGATTTGCGGTATTTATTGAAAGATCGGCTCCTCTTTTCATTAGACGCGATACTATTTCTGGGAATCAATTGCTTTGTTTTTCTGGAGATTACAACAAATTCCCATTTGACCATGCTCCTCATAAAGACCAAATTAAAATTGTAATTCATTTGATGGCTTCAAACGATACAAAGTCTGTCTATAGATATGCTGCCAATAATTGGATTCAAAAGCCAACCGGTATTCCCGATGAAAGGATGTTTAAAAATCCCATCTGGTATAATTTTTATTTATTTGCTAACTTTATTAGTATCGATTAAATTAAATGTATTATTTAGGTCAACGTGGGCTAAATATCACGCCGACATAACACAGCAAAAAGTACTGGATTTCGCTCAAGAGATCAAATCTCACGGCTTTTCAAACAGTCAAATAGAAATCGACGACAAATGGGAAGCAAAATACGGAGACTTTTCTTTTGATACAAAAAAGTTTCCAAATCCTCGAGAAATGGTTACAAAACTTAAAGATAATGGATATCGAGTGACACTTTGGGTCTATCCCTTCATTAATGCCGATTGCGATGTATTTAACAAAGAAAGTCAATATTTGATTAAAACCCAGAATAACTCAATAGCTGTGAAGGACTGGTGGAATGGAAAGGGAGGACACATCGACTTCACCAATAAGAAGGCTCAGCAATGGTTTATCTCACGCTTACAACACATTAAAAACACAACAGGAATCGATTCATTTAAGTTTGACGCGGGAGAGCTCGGATGGATTAGTGCAGACTTCAAATTTAATGATCCGGTTATCAATGAAACGCCCGTCACTTTAACTCAATTATATGCCGAAACTGCCTCTCAATTGGGTATTGTTTGCATTTAGTAGTCTTATCTCTTTTTTAAGACTTGCTTTGATTTTAAAAAGTTTATATTTATGATATATTAATGAATACAATAATAATAATTATTGAAAATTATAACACTTTAGGAAATATGATTGAAACAAGAGTTGGCTATAAAACACAACATTTGCCAATATTTGTGCGAATGTTGGATAAGCTCTCAGTTTGGGATTATAAAGGAGGGCTTAAAACATTAATCCCAACGGCACTTATGATGTCAATCGGCGGCTATAGCTTTGTGTTGCCGGATATGATCGGTGGTAACGCTTACGGGAATTTCCCGTCAAAGGAGTTGTATATCCGATGGCTTCAAGTGAACACTTTGATCCAACGGCACTTATGATGTCAATCGGCGGCTATAGCTTTGTGTTGCCGGATATGATCGGTGGTAACGCTTACGGGAATTTCCCGTCAAAGGAGTTGTATATCCGATGGCTTCAAGTGAACACTTTGATGCCAACCATTCAATTCTCGATCACTCCCTGGGATTTCAAAGAATCGTCTCAAGAAGTGATAGATATCAGCAAATCTATGCTTAAACTTCACGAACAATTTACTCCATTAATAATAGAGTTGGCGAAGAATTCAGTGAAAACGGGTGAACCTATAATGAGACCCATTTGGTGGATCGCACCCAACGATCCCAAAGCTTTTCTAATTGACGATCAATTTTTCGTCGGTACTGATCTTCTCGTAGCGCCCGTTACCACAGATAAGGCCCGAAAACGAGATATTTATTTGCCTTCAGGTGAATGGAAAGACCAGAGAGGAGTGGTTCACACCGGACCACAAACTCTCACTGATTTTAAGGCTGAGTTAAACGAATTGCCATATTTTACCAGAAATAATTAAATTTTGTTATTATAATCAATGTATGATTTGTTTGACAATAAAACCTAATGCTTTCATTTAAATAATTGATTATTTGCAGATTATTCTTAAAATAATTAACACATAATAAATTTAATATACAATAAAACTATATTTTATAGTTTTATTAGTAGTCTGAAAGTATCAAACATTTATTCATTGATAAATTATTTAAAATTTTCAGTAATAATTCTTAACTCAGGAATTGAAGCAAAATCTTATTACATTTAAAAGTACATAAATTTCACTTAATTAGTGAGAGTCAGTCAGATTGGAAAGAAAGGGAGAGAGAGAGATTTAACATCAAATTGAATAGAATAATGAGTTAAGAATAATAACGAAGACATTAATTTGCTTCTTGTGTTGCTTTAAATTGATTGCATTTGTCTTCCATTTCAGCTAAAAATTGAATTTTGTTGAAAAATACAGAATATATTAAAGAAATATATTTATATATTTACCATCAGAGGCTCCCAAACACTTTCCCCACTCGACTAATGTAATCTTATGGTCACTATTTTCATCGCAATTGTCCAAAAAATCTGATATACACGTCTCCATAGATAGCAACGGAGCCCGAAGTGGAAACAATTCATGACGCGATACATGCCTTGCAATAAAAGTTTGCAAATTTTAATAAATACTGTATAGAGAAAAGTACAAATGCGGTGAAAGTGGTGCGGCTATACCTGTCGTGCGGCTGTTTATCTAAATCACAGAACTTCCAGATGATAGCATCGATCCATTTCCGAGACAAATGTTCCGCATCTTCTTTAGTGGTGTGAATTTTTTTGCTGTTATAACACAACCTTATTATTACTAAAGATGTAAAGTTTGATGTATTAAACTACAGACCTAATGATGTGATCCAACCATTCTCTCATTCTTCTGGGAAAGTCTTCGAGCACTTCTTTCCTGCACTCAGGAAGCTGTTGACATTCGCCGTAATAATCAATGTGCATATGGCGGTGGTTTTCAGTGCAATCGCTTGATTGGCCTGAAAGTTGTTATCAACAAATTCAAGTTTGTATTAAATCACAATATTGTCATTTTTGGACACTTGTTGCAAAACAATGGCATAAATTATGATCAATACCCTCGACACAAGTGCAACGATGTCTGAATAGATGACAGTCTGATTGCCAGGTCTCGTTGTGGTTGGAACAGACCCGACGCCGGACGTCAGTATTATCAGCACAAGCGCTGTGTGTTTAATAAAATATTTATGTTTTATAAACATTTACAATAAACTTTCAACACTTGGATCAAAGCCAACATTTTTTGTTCTCAAATGAATTTCTCAATATTTGTTTTATATTAACATAAACTGAGACACGGAAGTCACAGACTATGCAATTAACGTGCAATATATTAGTAGAATAACAATCAATGGTCACATACCTAATACACTGACACTTAGCTGTTCCCGACTCGGCATCAATGGTGCACTCCTTTCCGGTCCCGCATTTCATTTTAATGCACGGATCTAATTATTTAATTCAATATTATAACATGGTCAGTTTTAATGTGATTATTTAACATGTTAAATAATGTGTACACCATGTCATTTTCCACATGGTTATTTTAAAAGAAAAATCAATTTAAATAGAATATATTATCATTTAGTATTTAATATAAATACATTATTAAAAGTTCTAATTTAAAAATATATACTTCATTAAAATTAAAGCACTTAAGTTATATTCTAAACAAAATCTTTAACGATTACTAAAAAATATTTTTAATTTTAATAAAGATTTTTCAATTATACTAAATATAAGGTATAATTAAATTTAAATTCATAAAGAATCATAATGATTCATTATTAATGAACATTTTATTATAAATTAATTTTCACAGAATCTCTAGCACTTAAAAAATTAGCTATTTAATTTTATACAAAGATAATTAAAATAACAAATGATGCTCATGTAAAGTTTTAATATTTATATAATAAAATAATAATCCAATCTGATCTTGCTTTATTTGAAATAATTAATGTATGTTTTAAACATAAAATGTATGGAATTAAACAAGGTTTCAATAATCAA